ATGCTGTGTGCTCATACAATAAAAGCACAATATTGTTCTGTAACATTGCAGGCAATGTATGGGAAAGCTAACAAATTGTGAATAGTGCATAAAAACAAAAGATTTTCAAATTTGCAGTATGAGGGTGCTGTGATAGCAAAAGAAGATTTGGAACTCTCTCGTCAATGTCATGGAACTCTCTTGTCATTTTTGTCATTCCACCTTTGCTTGGATCATAATGCATTTTTTCATAATTTATAACTTGACAGTTGACCGTTGTCAGCATGAGAATAACCTATCCCAGTCCAGGTGACAGTAGTTTGTGGTATATTTCTCTTGAAAATTACATTTTCTTGCCTTTCTTTTTTTACAGTTACCATGTCTATTGTCTCATGGGAGACGGTGAAAGTGCTGAAGGGTCTGTTTGGGAAGCCATGAACTTTGCTAGTTTTTATCAACTGGATAATTTGGTTGCAATATTTGATGTGAATCGGCTTGGCCAGAGTGATCCAGCCTGTCTTGAGCATGATATGGAAAGTTATCGTAAACGTACTGAAGGTTTTGGGTGAGTAGTGATTCTTTTACGTGATGGATAGATGGATATTTGTTTCCAGATATGATTCAAAATGGCTAACTGGCAGCCATTTTATGCATTCCGCCCATTTCTCGGTTCCAATTTCACCAATTATGTTTAATTAAATTTAATACAAAGTTCGATACATATATTTTAGCATTCAGTTTTGATTATTGATGAATAGACTGACTTTATTCAAAGTTTGTATGAATATCATACCAGTTGTTAATGCACTTTTTTTTTGGTGATGTGATTCAAAATGGTTGACTGGTGGCCATGTTAGTTTAAATTTCATGTATAATTAACCATTTCTTAGACATACCATAACTGATTTGGTGATGTCACATACAAAGGTGAGACATGTATGTATGTTCCTTTGTTTTTTTGATTATTGACCGATTGGCAGCCATTTTAATTTGTACATATACCAAAGAAAATGTCAACAATTTTTCAGGGGTGTTCGACCAGATTGTTTTCAAAATTTGTATAAACATCACTAGTATAACCTTATAAAAGCACTAAACTGACATTGTGTATATAAACTTTTGTATAAACAGGTGGAATACTTACGTAGTTGATGGTCATGATGTAGAAACTTTATGCAAAGCAATGCATGATGCAACAACAGTCAAGAACAAACCAACATGCATCTTGGCAAAGACATTCAAAGGAAAGGGAATTCCTGGTATGTATTCAATCTTAGAATATTACGTAGAAAATTGTAAATCCTGCATAATGAAGGCTAGTGCACTATTGCAACATGGGAAATTTACATTACTGAAAGTGTTAATCTGGTATGCTTTGAATACATCATAGTCTGCTTGAATACATCATAGTCTGC